TTATAGCGATATTTTCTAATACAGTGTATAATTTATTTGTTCATAGCACTTTTTGTTGTAGTACTTGTATATTTTTTTGTGAATTTAATATTTTTTATTTTTTATAATTTAACAAATTGTATGTTTTACCAAAAATGGATGCAAACGATCCGATTTTGATCAGTAAAGTTAGGGATAAGTTTTGCGGTGAATTGAAATCTCATCCGGATCTCTATGATGACTGCGATTTGCAGAGACTTATGTGCAATGATTGGTATATTAAGCGATTCCTGATGGCCACACAACTGGATGTGGACAATGCTTTTGCAATGGCCAGGGATGCCATGCGATGGAGAAAGTCTTACGGCGTGAATACGAGATCCGATGCCGACTTTCCCATTGAATTTTATGGTGCCGGTGCTATATTTCCATATTGTGCGGACAGGGAGGGCAGACCTATCGCCTATTTGAGAGTTAAGATATATAAGAGTTTCCCAAAGTTTTCGGACTATTTTAAGCAATTCTTTATACATATCATCAATAATATTGATACTCAACGGGAAGAAAATGGTATTTGATTTTATATTAACATGATATAGTGTATTAATTTTTAATTAAAAATTATGTACTTAAAAATCAAATAAGTTAAAGTCAATACATACAAAATTTAATTATAAATTTTAAGATTTTCCAAAACTAGCAAAATATATCAGTTTTACATTTCATTTCCTTTATATATTTAGTCGGTTTTCAATTAAATTTACACATAAATTATATGAATTAAAATTAATGACTAAACCGTAAAATATATAAATTACTAATTCATCGGAAAAAGCATTTGCTTGAATAAAACCTTCAGTTTACTGTTGCTATAAGTTTTGAAAAAATCTAATAATTGCATAAAATTGCAATTAAACCCAATTATTCACAAAATAACTACAAAAACAAAAATACAATTATCATTGAATAGGTTGGGCGATGGTATGGGACTTAACGGGCGCCGGACCTTCAAATTGGGACCTCTCGATGATTCGCTTTGTTATCTCCAGTTTCCGGCTATACTTCCCCAAAGGTATGCAATATCTGGTGATATACGGCGTCCCATGGATTATGACTGCGTTTGTGAACATTGGGATGAAATTGTTGTCAGAAGAAGCGAGAAATAAAGTGATATTCGCCTCAAAGGACCAGATCTTCAGCCATATTGAGCCCTCAAATGTGCCCGACTTTATGGGCGGTAAATGCGAGCAAAACTATAGGGATGTCCCTAAAGAGGTGGTCAGGGATTGCAGGGATTTGGGTGCAGAGCGTGGTATTAATAGCGATGAGATTGAGTCGGTTTTGAAGTTTATTGATAAGAATAATAATGTTTGAAGTTTTTTAGATTTTATAATTTTTTGTTGAATAGTTTAATTGCATGTTATTAATACAGTTTTTAATCACTGTTGACAGGGCTAATTTGATAAGTTATCATTGTAAATAACTCCACATATAGTTAGCCATTGCTAAAATCTATGTTTTAATAATTATTTTTGCAATTTAATATAATATTTATGATAATGTTGGCTTTGGTAATTTTAATTTAAATCAAAAAGTCTCTTAAATCTGAAATCTATCTAAAATAGGAATATGATTATTGAAAATGTTAAATACTTAATTATTATTTATGTATTAAATAGTTACAGTCCTTGAGTAAATTTGTGTTTTAAGTGCTTATGTTAATTATACCCTTAATAACAAAAATGAGTATAAACTTATCAATAAAGTTAGGGATAAATTTAGCAGTGAATTCATCGGTATTTGTAAAATGACTGCCATTTTATTGTGTCTCTTTGATTTGATAAACCATAATAATTAATAAATGAAATGTTCTGGATGTCAATATTATACACTACTGTAAATGGCATGCAATGGTAAAACTTATACGAAATAAGTTGATTTCAAAAAACTTTACCATGTATTTATTTTATGTATTATGTACTGTATTAAATATTCTACTCACATTTATTAATTTTTAAAACATTTTTACAAATTATACTTTTAAATTCATAATTGTCATTTTGA